TAAATTACTTGTTTGATTGACTGAAACATGGTCTTGCTCTGTCACCCAGACTGGAGTGCAGTGTGCAATGGTGCGACCATGGCTCACAGCAGCCTCAACCTCTCAGGCTGAACCTCAACCTCCTAGCTTCCCACCTCAGCCTCCCGAGTAACCAGGACTATAGGCATGTACCACCACACCTGGCTAATTTTTTTTTTTGTAGAGATAGGGTCTTACCATGTATCTTTCTCCTAATTTGCAGAAAGATACAGATATACAAATAGAAGAAGCTCACTGAACTCCAAGTACAGTGAAAGTGGTCAACAGACAGACTTTTGAAAGCAGCAAGAGAGAGAAAAGTGACTTGTTACATACAAGTGCACCTCAATAAAATAATCAGTGGATTTCTTAGTAGAAACCTTGCAGATCTCAAATGTAGAAATTTTATTACTACGTTTTGGCAGATACAAAAATTAACTTTGTCATATGAAGCAGTATATGGAGTAAACAAGAGATTCTTCCCAGGGAAAAGAATGGGAAATTGGCTTTGAAAAGATTAGAAACCATGAGCCATCAGGTAACCGATTAGCAATGTCTAATCGCTTTGAAAGGTTTGAGAAGATTAGAAACAGAGCTCCATCCTTAAATAGACACTCCTTCATGAATGGAGTTGATGGTGTAGTGCCATCTCTTATTAGCTATCAGTATTAACTAGATAGTTATAGTTTCTAATAAAATATTACATTTAAAATTCATATATATTTCATTGCAGACAGTTCACCTTTTCTCAGATGTAGCACAGTAATCCAGTTAGTACAGCAGTTCTTGGCACAGAAAATGCTATCTGTAACTATAGGTGGTGATATAATCCCAATGCCCATTTATGTAAGAACAAAATTAAGGGTTTATAACATGTGTTTTCAAGATGTATTAAAACAGTTACTGTAAGCAGTTCCACTCCCAGATACATATTGAAGAGATTTGAAAATGTATGTCCACACAAAAATTTATACACAGATGTTCGTAGCAACATTATTCATAATAGCTAAAATATGGGAACAATCCAACTGTCAATCAAGTGATGACTAGATAAACCAAATGTGATATATCTACACAATGAAATATTCAGCAATGAAAAGGAAGGGCATACCACAGCACACTCATTGGGATGGCTATAATTTTTTAAAGGTAGTGTTGATGAGATGTGAAGAAATGGCAGACTTTATACATTGATATTGGAGATGTAAAAAGCCACTGTGGAAACAAGTTTGGCAGTTTCTCAAAAAGTTAAATATACAGTTATCCTGTGACCCAACAATACCGCTCCTAGGCATATACCCAAGAGAATTGAAAACACATGTTCACACAAAAATGTGTACACAAATGTTCATAGCAGTATTACTCATAATAGTCAAAAAGTAGACACAACCCAGTATCAGCCACAAAAAAGAATGAATTATTGTTACATGCTACAATGTAGATGAACCTTGAAAACATTATACTATGTGAAAGCAGACAAACACAAAAGTCAGCCTGTTGTATGATTCCATTCTTATGAAATGTTCAAAACATAAATTCGTAGAGACAGAATGTAGGTTAGTGATTGTTAAGGGCAGGAGGGAAGGGCACATTGAGACTGACTGCTAATAGGTACAAGATTTCCTTTGAGGGTGGTGGAAATATTCTGGAATTAAATAGTGACGATGGTTGCATACCATAGGGAATATACTAAAGTATAATGACACATACCTGTTAAAATGGTAAATTTTGTGGTGCATGAAATATATCTCACTAAAAATACTGCATAAAAATAATGCTGAGTCTTGTCATATGTCATATTTTATAATTTTATAGTTTGATAAATTTTGCAAAGTTATCCTCCATTGAGATGGTACAATTAATACTTTCAGAAGCTATGTACGAGAGTGCCTGTTCTTCTCACGTGTATATCATCATACGTTTCAGTCTTTGCCCAATGTTACTGTTGAAAACTAATAACCCAATGTAGATTACTTTTGTATTTCTCTAATTATGATCAAGATTGACTATCTTGTCATATACTTAAATGCCATTTGTATTTCCTTGATTGTGAACTTCCATTCTTATTCATTGCCTGTTTTTCTATTAGTGTCAGTTTTTTTCTTATTGATATGTAGAACTTCTTTATATATTATGTTTTTTCCTAGTTTGTTTCGCAACTTAATGATGGATTTTTACAACAAATGCTATTTTTACCATTCAGTAGTGCTTGTTATAGCACTGTTCCATCTTCCTGGTTTAAACCAAGAACCTAAGCCCTATCTCATTGATATCATTGATGAGAGCTATTAAATTTCTCAGTGCTGGTCTTTGTACTTCTAAGCTATGTCAGCTTAACGCATCTGTGTATGTAAATGTGTTTGTATTTCTTTTACCAGAATATTTTGAAGGCGAACTGAATGAGGAAGACAGGTTTTCAATAGATTAATTGATCTGAAATTTTGATTGTAGACAGTCATTAAAGTGGATATAATTTATGACTTTTCCTAGAAGATATTAAGAACAAAAATCATTAGATTAATAGATAGATGGATGGGAAGGTGGATAAATGGGTAGATAGATTGAGGAAAGTGTATTAAACAGGGCTGAAAATCCTACCCCTGGCTATTGAGTCATTCAGCAGGTTTAGTCCTTCAGTAAATTATTTATTTACTTACTTATTTACTTTACTTACTTTCTTGCTTATTTTGAGACGGGATTACAGGTATGTGCCACTGCTTCTGACAGTATTTTTAATTCATATTATGTCAAGCCCTATGCTAGGTGACTGTACAGTATTGACTGAAACAGCTTTTATCCCTGGTTTCATTATAATCTAATGAGGGAGTCAGAAAAAGAAAAAGGGTGAAACAAATTTAATTGAGACAATGTAATGAAGGAATATAATGTTCCTTACTTGTTTATAGAAAATAAATGGGAGCTGTATGACATACTTTTGGTAGGGTGGTCAGTGAAGGCCTTTCTGAGGTGGCAGGCTTTAAGCTGAGACTTACAGATAGTGAAGAGTACTGTAGGAAATCTAGAGAGCATTCTGTGAAAGGGAAGCTTGAAATTGAGGGCCTTATGATGACATCTTTCAGAAACAGAAAGGAGGCCATTATGGCTGGAATTTAGTAAGTTGAGGTGGAAGAGGTAAGAAGAGACCATACAAGCCATAGTTTTTGGATCTACTACTGAGAAATTATCAAGAAGTGTTAAGCAAATGAGTGACATATTCAAATTTATGTTTTAAGACTACTCTTACTGCTTTATGGAGCATGAAGAGGGACGTGGTGATAAGAACATATACACCATGGAATACTATGCAGCCATAAAAAAGGATGAGTTTGTGTCCTTTGTAGGGACATGGATGCAGCTGGAAACCATCATTCTCAGCAAACTATCACAAGAACAGAAAACCAAACACCGCATGTTCTCACTCATAGGCGGTAACTGAACAATGAGATTACTTGGACTCGGGAAGGGGAACATCACACACCGGGGCCTATCATGGGGAGGGGGGAGGGGGGAGGGATTGCATTGGGAGTTATACCTGATGTAAATGACGAGTTGATGGGTGCAGCACACCAACATGGCACAAGTATACATATGTAGCAAACCTGCACGTTGTGCACATGTACCCTACAACTTGAAGTTTAATAATAATAAATAAATTAAAAAAAAAAGAACATCAACTGGGAGAGCAATTAAGTGGTGATAGGCAGAGCTTACACTAGAGAGATAAGGATGATAGACTGATAAATTCTAGATACAGTTTGAAGATAGACTTGGATTTGATGTGTTGGATGTTATGGACAGTGGAGAGGAAATCATTATTAATTACTCCCAGCCATTTATTTATTATTAAAAATCTATGTGTTCTGCCTGGATTTAATTATGGGTGGTAGAAGTTTGGTTTATAAATAATGATACATAAACTTACTTGGAAAATTCTACCATATCTAGTACCTCATTTTGGGTTCTTTCATTTTTTTTAACCGAAACATGTTAGCAGTTGAAATTTTTCTGAATTCAGCCCTAATTGTCCAGAAATAGAGCTAAACTGGCCTTCAGAAGTATTGAAACTGCTTAAAATTTCTCACACATAAAAATCATCCTCAAAACTAAACATTATATCTTTAAAAATTGGTGGGTTTTTTTTAAAGGGGAGGTATTTTAAAGGAATGAGGTAAATGTTATAAAATTTCTCCTCAGTGGATTTTCAAGTTCTGTAGTAGAATTTTGCCTGAATGGGTATAAAGCCCAAGATTTTGTGTGGGGGGTGTGTGTGTGTGTGTCTGTGTGTTTGTGTGTGTGTGTGTGTGAAGGGTGAAGAGAATTTTGAAAACTTGCCAGATTATTAAGAAATATATTGGCCCGGCGCAGTGGCTCAAGCCTGTAATCCCAGCACTTTGGGAGGCCAAGATGGGCGGATCATGAGGTCAGGAGATCGAGACCATCCTGGCTAACACGGTGAAACCCCGTCTCTACTAAAAAAAATACAAAAAACTAGCCGGGCGAGGTGGTGGGCGCCTGTAGTCCCAGCTACTCGGGAGGCTGAGGCAGGAGAATGGCGTAAACCCGGGAGGCGGAGCTTGCAGTGAGCAGAGATCCGGCCACCGCACTCCAGTCTGGGTGACAGAGGGAGACTCCGTCTCAAAAAAAAAAAAAAAAAAAAAATAGATTAATGTGAATCACTTCAGGTTGCTGCAATTATTAACCAGCTTTACTTTTGAAATAGAGGTTATTGCGCATTGTACAGTGTGATGGAAAAGTCAAATCAAAGTCTTAATATTAACACAAATACATTCACTAATTTCTAGCATAATTTTATTACATTTGATATGAAAAATATTGTCTGTAATGCAATGATTTTTTTCCTACCTGGGCCTTTTCTGAAATGCAGCTTTAAGCATTAATCTCCAAATGGAACAGATTTGTAAGAATCAATATAGTAGTTCCCAAAGGAAAAAAGGAATCAATTTTTTTTATTTATTTTTCAGAGGTGGCTGGATCCAAACAAACCAATAAGGAAGCAGCTAAAGAGTGAGCATACATATTTAACATTTTGCAAGTTTACTTTATAAAGATAAAGGATTAATATAGTCTGATTAATTAGAACTACTTTTATTAATTCTAGGAGGATCTCCTTACAATTTGAATTTTAGAGTCAAATTTTTTGTAAGTGACCCCAACAAGTTACAAGAAGAATATACAAGGTGGGTTTATGGAGCATATTTTTCTTGAAAATATTGTCAAAACTCTAATATAAAATTTTGAAATTAATTAGGCAAAAGGAAATTACTATGGTGTAATTCTGAGCTTTCCAGTCAGTACACAGAATAAGTTATGGCTATTCCAAGATAATGTTTTCCTCCTTTTTTGGATGGCTAGGAGAGTGTAAGGGGATTTAGAACCTCAGGGTGGCCCAGTCCAGCCCCAAGCAGCCTCCTGAGCCATATAAATATTAAAAATTTCTACTTGTGAACACTGCTTAAGTGTGGCTATAATTAATTGAGGTCATCAAATGTTGCTGAAATTGTATCCAAAGGATGCTGTGTGGTGAGAAATGTTTGGTTTTTTTTCCCATGTGAAAGCATATTGTAGTATCTTTTTTTATTGGGGATAACATAGAATTTATAAAATATATAACCATTATTTGCAAGTCAGTAGGTACCTTTTGTCCCTTATGTGTTTTTAATCTTTGATTCCAAAAAAGTATAATGGAGTTTATAAAGGATGTTGCAGAGAGTGCACTAGCATTTTGAGGCCTTTACATGCCCACTTGACTCTCCATTTTAAGTCTCAGCTTATGTTACTATCTAATTTTGTGGTCATTTCAACTTGACAGAGTATATACGTGAATGATCTAGATGAACATTTTGATAATGTTCTTGAATGTAAGGTGAAATATTGATGGTAGAAATGGAGAAATACCAACAGTGTGGTTACTGTCAGTATTAACCTGAATGACAACCTTTTGTGTTGCCTGAAAGACAGAATTAGTAATTAGTAATGATTTTTTTAAAAAGACAGTTAAAAATTAGCATGTTATACTCTCTGTAAAATTCTCAGATATAAGAATATAGGCCAGTGACTACATTCAGAATTACTATATAAGATAGGTGTCAAATTAAAAAATCCATACTTAAAATTACCTATAGATAGGATGTTAAATTTTAATGTATTGGTTATCATTTAGGAGGATACTGTCTTGGAGTGGAGAAACAAAAGGATAAATTAAAGATACTTAATTAGCTGCAGCTGCCAGTTCTAAGGTGTTTGCAGAGTTTTCAATAGTAAACCAAGTGAGAAAAATTAGATTGACATTCTAGAGATTTCTTTTCAGTGTGTTTTGGGGTGAGTGTGCAGGTGTTCCTTTTTTTAACAATGGGAGTATTCAGTAATGTTGTCTCTGGATTATGTAATCCTAATACTTGCAACTAATAGTAGAATCCACGCTAATTCCTCTTGAAAAACAAAGTTGTGTTATACGTATACATCTTGGCTTAATATTATAACCCTTAAAATATTGTGAGTTATAACCATGTTCATAATGTACTTCACTTGAAAAACTGTCTTTGAATTTCTGAGTGGAAGTAGAATGTGTTGATTCTTGTATAGCCTGCATTGAAAACATAATAAGGAAATAAATGTGTCTCTCTAATAAGTTGAAATAACTTCCTAAAGCAGAAGAAAGTAAAATCAAGTTTGATGGTAGTCAAGGAATTAACTTGTTCTCAGACCCTTTTGTAATGGAATGTTATGGAATCTTATAACTGGTATTATTAGGTAAAATGGGGTAAATGTCTAGTTTTTAAAAAATTTTACTACCATAGTGTGTATCAGTGATTTTTCTACTCTGATTAGAAATTAGAATCATGTGGGGGTGCTTTAAACCATAATGATGTCTTGGTCACATCCCTAGATAATTCTGATTGAACAGGTCTTAGATGGGACCTGGGCATAGGTATGTACAAGTTCCCCCAAATGATTCTAATATGTAGCCAAGGCTACATATTAGCCATAGCTTTAATGCTTGAGTAGTCTTAATGTGATAGTTATGATTAGTAACAGTGTACCTTCTGCCACAGCTGCTAAGTTTTCAGAACTAGTTTAGACCCCAGGAAACAGGAAATCTGCTATACCTCCTTACCTTGAGATTTCAAGAATGTAAATATACATTCCCAATATGCAGATGAATCTGCTTAGTAATTCTTTTTCAGTTTTTAGCTGTATGAAAGTTGATTCTGTTTGGTAGTGAGCCAAGAGAAGAAAATAAACTCTATGTAGTACTAAATTAATTTTTTAAATATCCTTTTAATTAGTGAATTAGTTTAGTTTAATTAGTAAAAAATATTCCTTTAATTTTGAAATAGTGGGCGGGGAGGGGGGCGGGGAAAGAATGGAGTCAAACAGGTTCCACAAGGTTAAACACTATTTAGTTTTAGCAGGTGCTAGCATCATTAGAATTGAATTTTTCCAATTCCTAAGATACATATGCTAGGCAAATTGATACTACTTTCTTTTTACAAATGTAGAAACTAAGACTCAGCCACATTTTAACTAATTTGCCCAAGATCACAAGCTAGTTTTGCCTAGGACTTGAATTCTGGTTTCTGCTTTTAACAGTTAAGTTCTTGCCTCTTGGTTAAATGAGTATGTAAGTAAAATTTGGCAAGTATAGGCATTATTTATGTCAGATTTACAATATTATGGCAAGGATATACATGACCTTTAAATCCTGACTATAAGATTGTTTCTCACCAGGAAACTTTAACTTTGAATTATTTTTATTTTTATTTTTGGGACAGAGTAGTCGCTCTGTCGCCCAGGCTAGAGTGCAGTGGCGCGATCTTGGCTCACTGCAAGCTCCGCCTCCAGGCTCACGCCATTCTCCTGCCTCAGCCTCCCGAGTAGCTGGGACTACAGGCGCCCGCCACCACGCCTGGCTACTTTTTTTGTATTTTTAGTAGAGACGGGGTTTCACCATGTTAGCCAGGATGGTCTCGATCTCCTGACCTTGTGATCCACCCGCCTCGGCCTCCTAAAGTGCTGGGATTACAGGCGTGAGCCACCACGCCCGGCCCTTTTGTTTTTTGTTTTGTTTTGTTTTGTTTTTTCTAGTAGAGATGGGGTTTCACCGTGTTAGCTGAGATGGTCTGGATCTCCTGACCTTGTGATCCGCCCACCTTGGCCTCTGAAATAACTTTGAATTATTAAACCAAAACAGGCCTGATGGAAATATACTGTCTTGGATTGAGTAAATAGATTATATTTATAATATTATGCACTAAGCCTCACAAGAAATTATATATGAAGCCAGGATATTTGTATTCTTTTTTTCTTTTTTTTTTTTTTGTAATGCGTATCTGATTCTCTGAAAACCTCTTTGGTAATTTGAATATTGTCATGGAGCTCTTCAATGACTTTAATCAGCCAAAGTAGAATTTCTAATGACTTTTGACTCTTTGAATATGTATTTTTTTTTAGTGAAATAAAAATCTTAAAATTTCCTGGTTAAACATTTAAAACCACAGAGTTTGGTCGTCTGCCACCCCTATACAACACAGATGACTTTGCCCAAGTATTGATAAATCTTTGAGTGAATGGGTTACCCACTAACAGAGACCAAAGGACAATGCTATCTTTTAAGCAACGACAGTAGGCTTGTTAAAGAAAACTTATGTTTTTGTTCGTTTCACAGGAAATTGAATACTTGACAGTTCTAACAATAATAGACAAAAGAGCTCTTTTTTCCCCCCCTAATCAAAGAGAGACTTCTTAACTCAAATGGAAGTGTATAGGTGCTTTTCTGTAACAGGCAGCTTCCTGCCATCTGATGATAAAATGATCAAAACACTGACCTGTACTCATAGCTGACTTTCTGTCTCAGACCAGCAAAAATCTTGGCTGGTCTCTAGTGCATTGCTACTGTCAACTCTTTCATGTTTGTGATACTCAGGTTTTCTATGCTTCCCACTTCTACTTTCTGCATATACCAACCCTCAGAATATTTCTCCCTGTGTCATGTAACTGTTTAAAATCTTGAGGGCTTCTATAATGGAAGCTAGTGGAAACAAGACATTCGAAGTACAAATTTCATACATCAAAGAATTTGAAAGATTTAGATTCATGAGCTTATGAAATCTTATTTTTAAACTACTTTACGTGTTTTAATATGTAAATTATAAAAGCAAATATTTAAATATTTTTATTTGTTAATGTAAGTATATAGTTTCTTAGAATTGAAATTGTTGCAATTCTAGTAAATGCTATCCTTTTTTTTTTTTTTTTTTTTTTTTTTTTAAGGTACCAGTATTTTTTGCAAATTAAACAAGACATTCTTACTGGAAGGTGGGCTCTTTAAATTTCTTACAAATTTTTTTGTAATGGACTTTAAAAATACTTTTAAAATCTGTATTAAGTGATTCATGGTCATTGCAAATAAATTATTTAAGAAGGTTACATGTAGTGTGAATTATTTTCATCAGATAAGTTTATTTCTTAATAGTTAAATCACATGAAACTTCAAGTGTGATTGTTTAACAAATTATAGTACTTTTGAAATTACTGTGTTTAACCTTTGGTTATGTATTTTTGTTTTGTTTTATTAGATTACCCTGTCCTTCTAATACTGCTGCCCTTTTAGCTTCATTTGCTGTTCAGTGTAAGTATCAGCCCATTTTTAGGTCAAATAGCATATAACTTTGTGGTTTGTGTTGCTAGTACATTGGCTTTAATGTGGGAGTTCTGTAGTTGTGTTACTATATAGAAAATAGTGACTGCAGTGGAAATGTAATTAAATCTTCAGTTAGTTAGCAATTACTATGATTTTGGGGAAAAAAAATTTCCTCTGAAATTGAGACCTAGAAAAATGTTAAATGGATTGCTGTAGCTTGCTGAAGTGGTTATATTAGAAACATAAGTACTTTACATCCAGAAATAGAATTAATGACATCACTGATTTGACAATAATAATTTAAAAATTTGTTTATTAAAATGTGAATATTTTCCTTTCATTATTAGCTGAACTTGGAGACTACGATCAGTCAGAGAACTTGTCAGGCTACCTCTCAGATTATTCTTTCATTCCTAATCAACCTCAAGATTTTGAAAAAGAAATTGCAAAATTACATCAGCAACACATGTAAGAGTTTTTTAGTTTTTTATTTGATAAACTTCTTATTGGCATTCTTTCTAGAGAAATGTTTGAAATTACTTCTAATTTGATGGCTGTATTTAATATAGAATAATTACTCTTACCTAAAATAATATTATTTTAAAGAAATATAGGTGATCTATGCTAAAAACTGATTTCATAGACTATATGAGGCTCATTTTGATTTCTATTAAGAGCCATTAAGCTATCTGTAAACAGACATTTATTTGCTATTGTATAATAGTCTAAGTAATTTTAGAATATAAATAATATAGTCACATTGTAGAGATCCATCTGCTTAGTAATTCTTTCTCAGTTTTTAGGTATAAAGGACTTGATTCTCCTTGGTAGTGAGCCAAGAGGAGAAAAGGAACTCTATATAATACTAAATTAATTTTTTAAAAGTATTTCTTTAAAAACAGTACAGGTTGAACATCCTTAACCCAAGTTTGAAATTCAGAGAGCTCTAAAATTTGAAACTTTTTGAGCACTGACATTACACCACAAGTGGAAAATTCTGCACCTGATCTCATATAATGGGTTTCAGTCAAAATGTGGTCAAAACTTTGTTTCATACACAGAATTATTTTAAATATGATTACCTTCAGGCTATGTGTATAAAGTATATATGAAACATAAATTTCATGTTTAGACTTGGTTTCTATCCCAAGATACTGCATTATGTATATGTAAATATTTCAAAACTTGAAAAAATCTGAAATCTGAAACACTTATGATCCCAAGCATTTCAGATAAGGGATACTTAACCTTATCAATATTCATTCATTAACAATATTCATTCAACTTTGATTCTTTTGTGTGAGTATAATTTTCTGTATTATTTTTTCAAAAGAGATTTGTTGCCTTGAATAGAAAGTAATATTGTTTATTAGTTCAGAATTCAGTTGTGCTTCAATATACGATTCTGAATACTCAGGGAAAAACTAAGGCAGTGTTGCATATTGGTAAGAGTCTGAACTAGAGAGCCAGACTGCCTGGTTTGAAATTCTGTAAGATTAGTTACCATCTTATAACCTTGGCCAAACTGCTTTATGCCTCTTCTCTGTTTCCTTATGTAAACTAGGGATAATAAAAGTATCTATCTATCTCTGGAGTTATTGTAGGTCTTAAAAGAGTTGATATACATGAGGTTCTCATAACCATACATAGCACATTGTACACACTGAAGAAATGTTAGCTGTTATTATTCTTCAGAAAACTTTCTTTTGCTAATAACTCATGTATCTAAGACAGGATAACAAACCATGGCCCATTGCCTTTTTTTTTTTTTTTTTTTTTTTTTTTGAGATAGAGTCTCGCTCTGTCGCCCAGGCTGGAGTGCAGTGGCATGATCTCAGCTCACTGCAATCTCCGCCTCCCGGGTTAATACCATTCTCCTGCCTCAGCCTCCAAAGTAGCTGGGACTACAGGCGCCCGCTGCCACGCCCAGCTAATTGTTTGTATTTTTAGTAGAGACGGGGTTTCACCGTATTAGCCAGGATGGTCTCGATCTCCTGACCTCATGATCTGCCTGCCTCGGCCTCTCAAAGTGCTGGGATTACAGGCATGAGCCACCGCACCCGGCCCCCATTGCCTATTTTTATATGGCCCACAGGCTAAGATTGTTATATAGATTTTAAATGGTTGCAGAAAGTCAAAAGAATAGCATTTTGTGGCATGTGAAATTTCATAAAATTCAGTGTTCATGAATAAACACTTACTGGAACACAGATACCCTCATTCATTTATATGTTGTCTGGCTGTTTTCGCACAATGGCCAAGCTAAATAGTTGCCACAGAGACCGTATGTCCTAAAAGCCTACAATATCTACTATCCAGCCCTTTGCAATAAAAGGTTTGCTGATTCCTGATCTAAAATAGACTAAGAGTAAGAGTTTGAAAAACTGGTAACCTCCTGGCGTAAGCGTAGACTGCCTAATGTGGTGAGGGGGCTATTTTAGTCTAAGTAAATTCCATTCATAGTGAAAGTTATACATATAGCATATCAGAATCAAGAGTTTGAAGATAAGCCAGATTTTTTAAATTTACCAATAATAAAAAGACTCTTAAGGATAAGCTTATTGATTATATATTTCTGTTGATTATATATTTCTGTTTAAGTACATGATTCATCAGATCTTTAAATGAAGAAAAATAGAATTATCCACTTTAACTGGAGGGAGTATATATTTAATTTTATAGAAATTTGAAGTGTGCTGCTTGTTTTGTGCATTAGCGGGCTGTTGGCTTCCTTTTCTAGTAACATTAGTGAATAGAAAGTTTGTATCTTTGTTTTTGTAATTTGCTGCTTTTGCTCTGCTGTAGTCTGATAATAACAGATTACTAAGGTTGTTAAAACTATATGTGAAATAGGAGTAAATCTATTTTTAAAGGCCTTACATGTAGAGCAGTGGTTCTTCAACTTGTGTTTATAAGAATCACTTGGGATTGTTTTTAAATATAAACAATTTTGACCTCATCCTTTCTAAATCAGACTCTACAGAATAGTCTTCTTAAACCATCTGTGATGGAAGATGATTTCTTCCCTCCAGCTGTCATTATTGTATTATTTATGTTTTGTAAAATAAAATAAAAATTAATTACTAGAAAAGTAAAGTGGAGAAAGCAAAGATGTAAAAAATACAAGTCCTCGTTTGTTTGTGTTTTTGTTTTGTTTTTTACTGTTAGATTTAACAGATATTACCCTGCCAGATTGCTATACAAGCCTCCAACACTCAGGTTCCATACTGTGAATCAACCTCTGATTGTGCACCACACTCTGAGAAGCACTGCCCTGGAGGTTGGCTTAGAATCTGCAAGTTTCAGAGATACCCTGTGTGATTTAAATGCAGATATTGTGTATGAACCAAATTTTGAGAAATACTGCTTTTAAGTTATATCTAAAAGTGAGGGGCTTTGTTACAGTCATCCATATGAATAGCAAGGAGCTTTAAAAACTTGGTGTATTCTTGTATTTCTAGAAAATAAGAAAGTATTCTGGAAAATAATAATTTGGGTTAAGACTGCTCAGTTTTTTCAGATAAATAGCCTTTTTCTAATTTAGCTGTATTTGATTGATTGATCCAATTTTTAACTTGATGTCTTTATAGAGGCTTATCTCCTGCAGAAGCAGAATTTAATTACCTAAACACAGCACGTACCTTAGAACTCTATGGAGTTGAATTCCACTATGCAAGGGTAAGTGAAGAAAACTTACTTCGATGTTGTTGAGTTAGGCTCCGTTACTCAGTATAACATTTTTTAAGATTAGATAACAAATGGAATAAGTTATGATTGCTGCTGACATAGCTGCACTGAAAATTTCCTCTGAATTTAAGTATTTTCACAATAACTTAAGATTCAATTCCTGAATGCGAAGGATGGTTAATATGGATTCTTCATGTTATTATTCTTCAAGGTAGTGTTTTATATGTAAAGATAATTTTTACCGACCATAAGATATAGTACCTTTAGAATATTTATTTTAAAATATAATTCTTAAGCTATAGGAAAAGTGGCTTTTGTATACTTTTATAATAATGATCATTAAAAATATTCTCACATCACTGAGGCCTGCTGCCTTTGAAAAACTGGTAACCTCCTGGCGTAAGCATATTTGTGAGTGTTTATCCTGTATTTGCGTGTTTCCTCATGTTTTTCTTGAGTTCTTTATCAAAAGTACTTGGAGTATAGCTATTCTATACTCAGTGAAAAGTGGAATTATAATCATCAATTGAGTTGCGGATAGTGTTTATCTTCTCTTGGGAATGAATAGTTGAGCCTAAAAAGAATATCAGCCTGAAAGGGAATTCAGAGCCAGTATTTTTCTTAGATAATTATTTTCAATCATTTTAATATGCAGACACTCACAGGTACACAGATAGTTGTTTAAGTACTCAGAGTTCTGGTTCATGTAATGGTTTTACCCTTTAGGACCTTTCCTGACCATATTCTGGGAGAGGAACATCAGTTCTTATGTTTCACAAAGCTTATGTCAATCTTTGCTTTAAAAGACCAGATGAGTTGCTTTACTCAAATGATTTTATCTTGTAATTCTGAGTTTTACTTGGAAATCTTTTTGTCTGATTCCATTTAAAATGTGTCTCTTAGAAACTTTCAGCTTTCTTTTTTTTTTCCTTCAACTTTTATTTTAAGTTCAACTTTCTGCTTTCTTTAAAATATGCCCCTTTACTGTCCTTCCTTATTTAGGGCCTATATCTTTTGAACATGATTCTTAAAAATGTAATGTACTGGTCAGTATTTGTGTCACTAGTTTTTTTTTTAAAAAAAAGTTTAAAACAGATGGAACTTTAAATATGTGAATTAAACTATGGTTAAAAATAAAAAGGGGCTGGGCATAATGTATCGTGCCTATAATCCCAACACCTTGGGACAGCAAGGCAGGAGGATTGCGTGAGCCCAGGTGTCCAAGACCAGCCTGGGAAACGTAATGAGATCTCAGCTCTACACATTTAAAAAATAAGCTGGGCATGGTGGTGCATGCCTGTAGTTGCAGCTACTCAGGAGTTGAGGCAGGAGGATCAGCTGAGCCCAGGAGTCTAAGCCTTCTGTAAGCTATGATCATGCCACTTCACTCCAGCCTGGGTGACAGCAAGATCCTGTCCTTTCTTGCAGTAGTATTATAGTTTTGGGTGTTACATTTATGTCTAATTGTCTTGAGTTGATTTTTGCATGTGGTAAGAGCTAGGTGTCCAGTTTCCTTCTTCTGTATGTGGCTATCCAATTTTCTCAGAACCATTTATTGAAGAGGATGTCCTTTCCCCAGTGTAAGTTCTTGTTGACTTTGTTGAAAATCAATTGGCTGTAAATATTTGGCTTTGTAAGTTCTTGTTGACTTTGTTGAAGATCAGTTAGCTGTAAATATTTGGCTTTGTTTCTGGGTTCTCTAGTCTGTCCTATTGGTCTGTGTGTATGTTTTTACATCAGTACCATGCAGTTTTGGTTACTGTAGCCTTGTAATACATTTTGACGTCAGGTAATTTGATGCTTTGTTCTTTTTGCTCTGGATTGCTTTGGTTATTTGGGCTCTTTTTTTGGTTCTATATGAATTTTAGGATTTTTTTTTCAAATTCTATGAAGAACGATGTTGGTATTTTGATGGGGATTGCACTGGATCTGTAGAGTGCTTTGGCAATATGGTCATTTTAACAATATTAGTTCTTCAGATCCAAGGGCATGGGATTTTTTTTGTTTGTGTCATCTTAAATTTTTCATCAGTGTTTTGTAGTTTTCCTTGTAGAGATCATTCACCTTCTTGGTTAAATTTATTCCTAGGTATTTGTTGTAGCTATTGTAAATGGGATTGCCTTCTTGATTTCTTTCTCAACTAGATCATTATTGATGTATAGAAGTGCTGCTGGTTTCTATGTGTTGATTTTTACTGAATTTATTTATGAAATCTAAGCATTTTTGGTGGAGTCTTTAGGTTTTTTTAGATACAAGATCATATCATCAGCAAAAAGAGGTCATTTGACTTCCTCTTTCCCAATTTGGATACCTTTTCCTTCTTTCTCTTGCCTGAGTGCTCTGGCTAGGACTTCCAGTAGTATGTTGAGTAAGAGTGTGCAAGTGGGCATCCTTGTCTTTTTCTAGTTCTTAGGGGGAACAATTTCAACTTTTCTGTTGAAATTCAGTATAATGTTGATTTTGGGTTTGTCGTATATGGCTTTTATTATTTTGAGGTATGTTCCTTCTGTGCGTTTGTTGAGATGTTGAAGGTTTTCAAATGCTTTTACAGTGTCTTTTGAGATGGTCATATGGTTTTTATTCTTCATTATCTTCTTGTGATATATCATGTTTACTGATTTGTGTGTGTTGAATCATCCTTACATTCCTGATATAATGTGTTGTATCTGTGGTGTATTATCTTTCTAACATGCTGTTGGATTTGGTTTGCTAGTACTTTGTTGAAGATGTTGGTGTCTTTGTTCATCAGGGATACTGGCCTGTAGTTTTCTTTTTTCTAGTTTTTGCATCCTTGCCTGGTTTTGGTATGATACTAATGCTGACCTTATAGAATGAGTTAGGAGAATTCCCTCCTCTTCAATTTTTTTTTTGGAATAGTTTCAGGACTGTTATTACTTCTTTGTATGTTTGGTAAAATTCAACTTTGAATCCATTTGTTCCTGGGCGTTTCTGTGTTGGGAGACCTTCTTTACTGATTTCAATCTCACTACACATTATTGGTCTCTTCAGGTTTTCTGTTTCTTCTTGATTCAGTCTTGGTAGTTTATATGTTTTCATGAATTCATTTCCTCTAGGTTTCCCAGCTTGTAGTTGTTCATAATAGTCTCTGATGATCTTTTCTATTTCTGTAGTATCAGTTGCAATGTCTCCTTTTCATTTCTGATTTTACTTATTTGGATATTCTGTCTTCTTGGTTAGTCTAGCAGTTTATTAATTTTGTTTGTCTTTTTGAAGAACCAACTTTTTGTTTCATTTATCCTTCATAATTTTTACGGTCACTGTTTCATTTATTTCTGCTCTTATCTTTGTTATTTCTGTTCTACTAATTTTAGGTTTGTTTTGTTCTTGCTATTCCAGGTTTTTGAGATGCATTGTTAGACTGTTAACTTGTAGTCTTTCTCCTTTTTTTGTGTAGGCATTTATTGCTGTAAACTTCCCTCTTATCAGGGCCTTTGTTGTATCCCACAGGTTTTGGTATGTTGTATTTCCATTTTCATTTGTTTCAAAGAATTTTTTTATTTCCATCTTAATTTCTTAATTGACCCACTGGTCATTTAGAAGCATATTGTTTAACTGATTTGTTGAGACTTGTTTTGTTACCAAACATATGGCCTGTCTTGGAAGATGTTCCATGTGCTTATGAAAATAATGCATATTCTGCATTGTTCAGTAGAATGTTCTCTAAGTGTCTGTTTGGTCCATTTGATCTAATGTTCAGTTTAAGTCCAATGTTTCTTTATTTTCTTTCTAGATCTGTCTCATGCTGAGAGTGAGGTGTTAGTCCCCCACTATTATTGTATTACAGTCTATATCTCTCTTTAGATCTAGTAATATTTGTTTTATGAATCTGGGTACTCCAATGTTTGGTGCATATATATTTGGAATAGTTATGTCCTCTCACTGGGTTGATCTCTTTATCATTATATAATGACCTTCTTTGTCTTTTTTTTTTTTTTTTTAAACTGTTCTTGAAATAATTAAAATCTGTTCTATCTGATATAAGTTTGGGTACTCTAACTTTTGGTTTTCGTTTGTGTGGAGTATTTTTTTCCATCCCTCTATTTTCAGTCTATGTATGTTTTTAATGAAAAACTGAGTTTCTTTTAAGCAACATATAGTTGAATTACGTATTTTAATCTATTCAGCCATTTTGTATCTTTTAAGAGGAGAATTTGATCTATTTACATTCAAAGTTGTTGGTATATGAGGTTTTGTTCTTTTCATATGGTTTATTGTTTTCTGGTTATTATATGTATTCTGTGTTTCTTTCTTTTTCTCTTATAGTTCGTTGTTTTGATGGGTTTCTGTAGTGATACTGTTTGGGTCCTTTCTCTTCCTCCTTTGTATTTCTTTACCCATTAAGTTTTATACTTTTGTGTGTTTTCATGATGGTAAATGTCATCATTTCACTTCCAAGTTTAGGACTCCCTTGAGCATATCTTGTAGAACCGATCTAGTGGTATAGAATTCCCACAGGATTTATTTGTCTGTGAATGATTTCATTTCCCTTTCATTTATAAGTGATAATTTTGATAGATATCATATTCTTGAGTGGCGGGTTTTTTCTTTCAGCACTTTCAATATATCATTCCATTGTCTTCTGGCCTGTAAAGTTTCTGCTGAGAAATTCACTGTTAGACTGGTGGGGTTTTCTTTGTAGGGTGAGACACTTTTGCTACTTTTAAGATTTGCTCCTGAAGTTTGACTTTAGACAGTCTGATTATAATGGTGCCATGGAGAACACCTCTTTACGTTATATCTGCTTGGAGATCATTGAGCTTCCTGTATCTGAATGTCTAATCCTTTCTTTGTTTCTTTGCCCTTGGAGATACAAATAATATGTAAATTTGGTCACCTTATCTTGCCTCAAATTTCAGGAAGGTTTTGCTCATTCTTTTTTCATTTCTTTTCTTTATTTTTGTTTGACTGGATTATTCTGAAAGACCTGTCTTTAAGTTCCAAGATTCATTTTTCGGACTGATGTAGTCTGT